ATAGATAGATAGATAGATAGATAGATAGATAGATAGATAGATAGATAGATAGATAGATAGATAGATTTTCCCACACAATTCAAGCTGAAGACTTTGACTGTAGCATCCTCACAGCCTGCATATCTGGAATCCCATTCAGGTGGTGTGGAGGGGGAGCAAGTTTATTTAGGGAATCAGAAGTTTTACATTTTCGTAAAGTGTCTTTCAAACCAGGCAACTTTAAGATGTGTGGATTTTAACTCCCAGAATTCCCTAGCCAGCATATTTGGTCATCATTACAAGGACACCAAAATCATGCCCTGTGCATTGTGAAGTTATCATTCAATGATGTATTGTACATAATTGTGTCATATAGTGTATGAAATTATGATGCATTCAATGTTTTGTCCACCCCCACCTCCCCTTGATTCATCTGTATTGCAAATAATATACCTCAATCAACTGGATAAATTCTATGGACAAAAGAGAGATTGTTTTATTTTCTTACATGTAGTGTTATATACTCATTGTATAACAAAGAACAAAATATACCAGCTTGTCCGAAGAGACCAGATGCCCAAGGGCCCAACTGGGAAATGCCCTTGATGACTTCCTTCAGCAGCTTGATACACAAGAGAAAGTATAAATCAGTCTCCATTTAATGGTCAACTAACATAATGTTGCCAGTCTGAGCCAAAACAAAAAGAAAATGTAGCTATTCAGATTACAGTATATTCCTCTTTGCATTTCAACCAGAATAAAAGCAAAGAAAATTTAGGAAATATCTATAAAATTGTGTATATTCATCAATATCACATTGAAGGATACATTCGTTTAAGGAAATCAGGAACAAAAGCTGTATGATCAAGCTAATGAACAAGGCAGATATTTGATGAAAGATGTGCCAGAATTCTTATTAACTTGAGTTAATAATTTAAAATATTATTCAACAAAGCAGATTTGAAATGACCACAAAAGTGAGAAAATGAGAGAAGCCAAGCTAGGAAAAACAAAACAAAATTTTATCATAAGGAGGATGTTCCAGGAGTATTTGTCCATTCTGACCTAGAATTATGGCAGTCACCGGCCTAGGATGTTTGCGTGGCACCAGACTGCAGAGGGTGATTTAAATGTAAAGCTAAAATAAGGGGGGGGGGGTGGAGATTCTATCAGATAGAAAATCAATACATGCAAAAAAGTTGCAAATGAGATATGCAACCATGGATCTCCAATTCTAATTTGCTCTGCTCAGAACATTTGTGGAATTTGGGGAATTGCCAAATTCTGTCTCCCACTTCTGAAAAAGGAGACTTTCTTCCTTATCATCCTCAAAATCAACAGGACTTGAAGCTCCATCTCTCTGAACATGAAAGATGGAGACCTCCAAATACCTTAAAAAGTGACTTTTCATTCATGGTCATGATGCTTTATGGAAAGATTGGAATCTAAAAGATATTATGAACCACTGACGCATCAAAACTCATCTCTTGCATTTTTAAAACCATCATATTACGGCTTCTCTGGTTCCCGTGATGTTCCTTCAATAAACTACACTAGGAAGTCCAAAGGGTACAAATTGATCCCAGAGGTCAGAGTTCTAAACCAAGGAATCCACAAAGTAAATCAATACTACTGCTCATAAAGATTAATAAGAAAACTCATATTTTTTCATCATGAATGAAGAACATTCAAAAGCTGTCTTTCCAATATAAATACTTCCTGGGATTCAACTTTGATTGAAGAAATGGGTGCTAGTATCATAGTTTCCAACACTGGGCTAGGAGCTTTGGCCTCCTGCTTCTTCCATCCTTATGAGTTAGGCAAGCTAAAATAATGGTACCATATCTCTGAATTGTACCATCCACTCCTCAAACTGAACCATAGGATTGCTTCTCCACACAGCTGTATGTTTAGATTTTAGGGAAAGCTGGAATGTTTTTTCTTAATGTTTTCCACACAGCTTCTTTTACCTCATTGTTCCTAATGGTGTAAATAAAGGGATTTAGCACTGGAGCAACTATACTATTCACCACAGAAACAGACTTGATTACGCCAAAGGAAGAGTTCTTGACCGTAGGTCTTAAGTAGACAAAAAAGACTGACCCATAGAAAATGGTGACGACAATCAGATGGGAAGCACAGGTAGAAAAGGCCCTCTGCTGTCTGGTGTTTGAAGGCATTCGGAGAATGGTGCAGATGATGAAGAGGTAAGAAATGAGGGTGAAAAGCAGGGAAGACATAATAATAACCACAGTAACTAGGAAGCCAAGGGCTTCAATGACATGTATATCTCCTCCTGCAATCTTCAACACAGGTCCCACATCACAAAAGAAATGATTGATAATGTTGGAGGTGCAGAAGGGTAGGTTTCCAATCATTACTAGTTGACAAAGAATGGAGAAAAAGCCTCCAAACCAGGCTGCTACTGCCAGTTTAAGGCAGACCCCAGAAGTCATGATAATGGCATACCTCAAAGGATGGCAAATGGCTACGTATCTGTCCAGGGATATCAAAGTGATGATAAAAAATTCCGTGACCCCAAAAAGGAAATAGAAGGACAACTGTATTACACAGCAATAGAAACAGATGGAATTGCTAGCAGAGAGATAATTGACCAGCAGTTTAGGAATAAAGGCTGTGGTGTGTCCAATGTCAATGAAAGAAAGGTTGCTAAGGAAGAAATACATGGGCTTCTGGAGATGGTGGTCCACAATTACAATCATGATGATGAGCCCATTGCCCATCAGACACAGGAGGTAGAGCACAAAGACACTAGCATACATCATGTTTTCCATTCCTGAAACACTTGGCAATCCAACAAGAATAAATTCAGTTGCTCTTGTACAGTTGGTCAAATTCATCATCCCCTTCTGTTACAAAAAGAGAAGATATGAATCGTCATTGAAACAAGATTTAGCTACATTTCTAAACACATTTTTCAGACACTCCAATTGTGATTGCAACACAGAGAACATAACACTGGATTTTCACAGTTAATTAAGGAAAGTTGTGAAAGTTGCCGGCCAGAAATGGTCGACGCTTCAGCGGTTCAAGTCCAGCCTTCGCGTTAAACAGGGTGAGGTCCTGTTTCCTCCCCAGTTCCTGTCT